ATTTGTAATGAAATAGGTATATTAAAACCAAAAGCTCTAAATACTCAAAATTAATCACTTGTTAATTATTTTTCTGCATGTCTGCATGTTTGCGTTCAGTGCCATTGGGGTAATGTTGTTGTATCTGCCTGGAGGAAACACTCATGGTGGCTGGTGAGCACCTCTCTCCTTTCTCTGTATCCAGTGGTATCACATTGGCAAGCTGAAGTCAGCCCTGGTGGTGGTATTTACACCCCAGGAACTGGCAAATATGAGACGAGAGCCTTTCTTTTTCCAGGGATAGAAGCAAGTAACCAACTGTCAAACATTTACTAACACACCGGCACTACTGGTCTATAGGCAACCATGTCCCCTGAGGGGGGAAGCCCTACTTTCAAAGGTCAGTTTCTTTCTTTATTGTGAAAGTTTTATTTTTTTTGTCTTAACCGTGGCAACGGTTAACCAAACCATTCCATTTATTACTAGTTTTGTGTTAAATTCAGATATAGGATTTTCCTTAATATGTTTTACAAAAATTTCTGAATATGCAGCAAATTTGAAAGAATTTTATAAAGAGTACCTGTATATCCACACTCATTTTCTACCATGAAACTTTACCTGACATCATTACATTTCACCTTCTATTCATCCCTCATATACAGATTTTTTAAATTACTTGCCAATGTAATGGGTATTACTACTTAGAGAACATGGTGTATTAGAGGATCCAATTATTCAGTATTATTGTTCTGATTTGAAACATCTCAATAAGTACTTGATTTTAGACTTAAGTTGGAAACAATGAAAACTATTGAGATATTTAAGAAAATTTAAGACTCATCATTTAACCTTGGCGTATTCAATGAATTAGAGTTATTTAAGAGTGAAGAAAGATGTGTTTGTTATAATCAATATTTAATATATTTAAAACATTTCAAAGTATTTCATACGTACAAATGCAGTTAAAATTTTAGAGCATTTAAATAACTAGTGTTTAAGTGTCAACAAAAATAAAAGATCTCCTTAAAAGTATTAAAACTTGATTGATTTATAAATAAAATAATAAAGTACATAAGTTGACCTTAATAGTGTCACAGAAAACTAAGTTTTTGATTTTTGAAAGTCAAATGAAATACTACATTAAAAAAAAAAACAGGCTGAGATTGTGGCTCAGCAGTAGAGCGCTCACCTACTGTTCCCTGTGTTCGATCCTCAGCACCACATAAAAATAAATCAAATAAAGATATTGTGTCCAGTTTCAACTAAAAAATAAATATTAAAAAACAAACTAACAAGCAGACAGAGCAGAGAAGCCACTATAATAGACAACAAAAACAGAGGTTGACAGACTGTTTAAAAAGTTGGACACCAGTCTGTGGTTTTATTGGGAGGTGGTAGAACCTTTAAGAGGTGGGGCCTAATGGGAGGAAATTAGGTCACTGAGGCTGTGCCCTTGAAGGAGATACTGGGACCCCAGCCCCCACCCCATCCCTCTCTCTTTTCTTCCCTGCTGCCACGAGGTGAGCAGTTTCTTTCACCATGTGCTCCTGACATTATATGTTGGACCACCATAGGCCAAAAGCAATGAGGCCAAGCAACATGGACTGAAATCTCTCAGTCAAAATAAATCTTTCCTCTTTATAAGTTGATCACCTCGGGTGTTTGTTATAGTAACAGAAAGCTGACTTATAGTTTAGATGTGATTTGTCCCCCAAAAGCTCATGCGTGAGACAATGCAAGAAATGATTGGGTTATGAGATCCTTAACCCAATCTGAATTAATCCCTTGATAGGGATTAACTAAGTGGTAACTGAGGGCAGGTACAATGTGGCTTTCTCTCTTCCTCTCTGTCCTTCATGGTGTGATGTCTTGAGCCACTTTTCTCCACCATACTCTTCTGCCATGATGTTCAACTTCACCTCAAACCCCAAGGAATGGAGCCGGCTATCTGTGGACTGAGGTCTCAGAAACCATGAGCCCCCAAAATAAACTTTTCCTCCTCTAAGTTTTTTGTGTCAGGTCTTTTGGTCACAGCAGTGAAAAACACTGACTAAAATGCTAACAAAAAAGCCATACAAAGAGGACATTACCAGCCCCGTCTCATTCATGAGTGGAGAGAGGCTCAGTGGCTCGGGTCACACAGATAGTTTTTCTAGAACTGAACTCTTTGCTTTTCCCTGTCCCCAAACTTTAAACTATTAAAATACCTTTAGTGTTTGATGGGAGAACATTCAAATGATTTTTAAAACCTACAAAATTTCAAAATCCAATTAAATGATGAAAAAAGTCACAACTTAAGGGATAGGGGAGAAGAGTGCTTTGCAGCTCAAGTTAGGATAAACAATAAGGTAGGGAAACATCTAGAACCCAGGAGAAATTGAAGGCAAGGCCCCTCTCTTGCTATGCCTTCTATCTCAATGAGGGGCATTTCAGGGCTAGGTTGTGGCTCAGTGATAGAGTGCTCGTCTACTATGCGTGAGGCACTGGGTTCGATCCTCAGCACCACATAAAAATAAAATAAAGATATTGTGTCCACCTATAACTAAAAAGTAAATATTAAAAAAAATGAAAAATGAGAGGCATTTCAAATCCCCCCATACATCCAAGTCAGACACCTGAGATCTCAGGGCCCCTGAGGAGAGCTGGGGAAGTCATTCCAAGTACAGGGAAGAGCAAATGGAAAGTCTAGGACCAACCCTGGAAGACTCACTTCACTCAGGATTTCGCATCACACACTGGTAGTGGGAGTCCATCTGCTCTTTGACCCTGTCTATGTTTTCCCTTCTGTCAAGAATATGCTCGTTCTCATCCTTCCCACAGCCATCTCCTTCCTTCCCACCCTTCAGGGCTCAGGTTGGCCAGCCTTCCTTGTCCCCAGTGTATATCAGTGTCCCCCTCTTCTGTATGCCTGGGCATCCCCTTCTTCTGTACCAGCCGTTATGGGGCCTCTCTGCCCCCTAAGACTCTCAGCTCTTTGAAATCAGTATCTGCACTTCAGCCACTGTTTATTCCTAGTGCAAAACCCGAGCATACAGTGGGTCCTCAACTCATGTTTATGTCTGGTCTATTTGAAAGAGACAAGAATGTGGCCCAATCCTCAAGAATATCAGTAATAATAAATGCTGGCGAGGATGTGGGGGAGAATCCTTTCCTCACTTATACACTGTTGGTAGGACTACAAACTAGGATAACCACTTTGGAAAGCATTAGGGAGATTCCTCAAAAGCCTAGGAACGGAACCACTATAGGCCTCAGCTATTCCACTCTTTGGTATTTATCCAAAAGAAATGGAATCAGCAGACTATACGACAGCGACACACACATGCCAATATTTATAGGAGCACAATTCACAATAAACAAGTTATGGAAACAGCCAAGGTGTCTGTCACAGATGAATGGAAAAAAAGAAAATGTGGCCTGTATACACAATGGAGTTCTACTCAGCCATGACAAAGATGAAATGAAATCATGTCATTTGCTGGTAAAGGGACAGAACTGGAGAACATCAGGCTAAATGAAATAAGCCAGACTCCGAAAGTCAAGAGTCGAATGTTTTCTCTCATGTGCAGAAGCTAAACAGAAATAAGGAATTTAAAGGGGAGATCTTATGAAAAGAGAAGGGAGAACAGTAGTTCCCAGGAAGGGGACAGAGGGAGAGGGAGGGAAGGAGGGCAGGGGACTGGCCTAATTATGCTAAGTGCATGTGAGAAGATATCACAATGGATCCCACTTTGCTGTGTCAAGTATAAAGCACCAATTTTAGGAAATAAATAAATAGTAGGAAGACCAGTTGAATAGAGAAGGGGGGACAGGAGGGTAAGAGGAAGTACTGCGTATGAAATGGAACAAGTTATGCTATGTGCCTATATGAAAATGTCACATGAACCCACTATGATGTATAAATGCAATGCACTGCGAATTTTTTAAAATTGGACCCTAGGCATCCTCCTCCTCTCTTCCATGTGCTCCCTTGCATTGGGACTTGAAGGAAGGTGGACAGGATTTGGACAAACAGGAGATCTTTAGGGAGAAAGGCAGGAGCCCAAAACCAGAAAGTAGAGAAGAGCTGGGCCTGAGGAGACTCCAGAACAGGATCCTGCAAAGAGAGCACACAGAGAGACGTCTGAAGCTCGGATTCGTTCGTTCTTCTGGCTTTTACTGAGCTGCCAGGATGATTTGCTGAGCAGTTACCACCCTGGATCCCGGTGGTAGGGCAGTAACTCCTACTTAGAGCTTGCTGACTTCATGTCAGATTTACTCCTCTGAACTTTATGTCTCTTAATGCTCTAAATCCTCACAACCATTGCAGGCAGCAAACGCAGTCGCCGTAGGATGGGCAAGGTAGCAGAGGCACAGAAAGGTGAAGTGACTGGTGCCAGGTTTACAGCCTGAAGTGACGCCCAGATATGAAGTGCCTGGCTATGCCGTTGGGCTGTAGGACCCCAGGCACTGCTACTCTCATCTGCATTCTGATGAGAGGACTGGATAACAAACAAGCAAACAGGAGAATTTCAGGGCATGACCAACGCAATATAGGAATCCCACCAGGGATGTGGTGGAAATGTGGTTCAGTGGTAGAGCACTTGCCTAGCATGTGGAGGGGCCTGGGTTTAACCCTCACTGCGTGCACACACACACACATACACACACAAATGGCAGAAAGTGACCATGGAAGGTCTGGATTGGGTAGTCATGGACGACTTCTTTCTGAAGGAGAGAACTAAACTAGAATCTGAAGGATGAGAAGAAGCCAAACACAGGAGAGCTGGGGGAGATGATCCAAGCACAGGGAGTGGCAAGTACAAAGGCTAGGACCCACTTCCCTTGGGATTTCATGTTTCACCTTATTAATGGGAGAAATTCCATGGCGGGTGCTGCTTTGCGGGGTAGCGGACCTTCCCTTGCCAGGTTGGAGTGAGACAATCTGTTGGAAGGCCCTTTCTGTGGCCCCTACAGCTGAGTGCCCCAGAGGAGGGTGGTTTGGGCCTTGGGCACCTTATCACCAAGCCGGACAGACTCACGTTTTGTTTGAAGCTGTGGTTCTCGGAGCATTCGGAGTCATCCTGCCAAATATCTGTGGTGTTCACTAGGGTCTGCCAAGTTCCCCGAGCCAAGCAGTGTCTGTAGGCTCTTCCTGAGCTCTCTGAAAGTAAACAAAGCTCTAGAGGAAAGGTCAGAACACACAGCCCATTCCCTGAGCACGCTGGAAGTCCCTCACCCTGGCCACAGAGCTGTGGAAAATCCCAGGGAAAGGGATTTTTTTTGTTGTTTCCCCCTTTGGGGGCTCATTAGCATCCTTACTGTTTATTTGGGACAGAAAGAAAAACATGAAAGCCTCTCGATTTCGTAACAAACCATGATCCACTAATGTCTGCTGTGTTTACCCGAAGTCTCCGGAGTTAGAACAGTCCCTGGTGACTCAGAGATGTGATAACCCCTGGAAGGTACAGCCCAGCTGGGAGACACCGACCTGGGCTCCTGCACTTGCTCAGTGGTACATCGCTTCTTGATACCCAAGAAGAGCATGCAATGGGCATGAGGCGGACAAATTGGAGCTGAAGCTTGATGTGTCACCTAATGAGTGGGTGTCCTGGGCTCAGCCCTCCCTCTCTGTGCCTGCAGGTTTCTTCATCAAGAACTAGAACCATCATGATGCCACCCTCTGGATCTTGAAGGAGGATTAAAGGAGTGTGTGTGTGTGTGTGTGTGTGTGTGCAGATGATGGGCAAATTGTTCTGTCCACGCTGAGTGCTGTGGTAACTTAGTCACATCTACTCCAGGAGCACCTCCTGAAGCTACTACTACCTGGAGGGCCAGGATCTGGACTTGCAAAATGAGAAGTGGAAATCTGCTGGATTTTCCTAGACCAGACCCTGCACATCACAGTCCAGCAGTAGCTATTTTCTGCATTTAATCATTGGGTACCCACATAGTACGTCCACCTGCCCAGGCGACAGTTTTGCTAGGGTGTCTAAGTGACATCTCAAACAATAGGCCCCAAACCAAGTTCTTCATCTTCTCAAAACCTAATCCCCCTACACTCTTTCCCACCTTGCTAGATGGCAAACCCAGCCTGCCAGTCCTCTGGCTCCAAGCCTTGTTGTCAATCTTGCTTTCTGTCTCCCATAGCTAATCATCTATACTTTCAAATATATCCAGAATCTGACCACTGCTTTTTACTGTGTCCTTCTCTCCTAAGTGGAACCATCATCTCCCCTGGAAAGATGTCTCCTCTGACAATTCTGCCCCTCATATCTATGGATAAGATGTCAATCAACAACCTGGATAAGATGTCCGTGGCATCATGCCAATATCTACTCACTATCTTCCAAGGACTTGAGAACGCATCAGAATCTTTTCATGGCCCCTACAAAGCCTTGTCAGACCGGACCCCCAAATCTCTCTGCCCTAACTTCTTATTGCTTTTCTTCCCCTTCCACTCAAACCACATTTGTCTCCTTCTCTTTTTGAAACAGACCACCCATGCTCTCCACCAAGGGCTTTGGCACCTGGAAACACCTCCACTATTGGCTAAAACCTTTACCTCCTTTAAGTCTTCACTGAGACACCAGCTTGTCATTGAATCCTTCCCTGACTACCCAACTTACAGTCACCACTCACTCCTCCCCTCCTGTGCTCCCATTCCTTCCCCCAGCTCTAACTTGTGTAAAATGTATCACATCCATACTTACCAATGATGCTCGCTGATTTTTTTGTCTGTCTGTCTTGCTAAAACATGAGTCCAACAGGAGAATTTTATTCTGTTTGGATCATTACAATATCCCAGGTGTTTATAAATAATGCCTGGCATACAATAGAAGCTAAATAAATATTTGTTGAATGAGTGAATGACAATAGTTCCCTTGACACTTGTGTTCTTCATGCCAATCATAATGCTCTATGCTGCGCCTGCTAGGATGAACCTGGCAAACTCAAAGTCTATGCAGGAGATTGCAAATAAAAAGCGCCATCCGCCATCATAAATTCTGGCAGAGACGGCACAGGTTAGAGAAGAAGCCTCAGGAAAGCAGAGGGCCATTGCACTGTGGGGAGAATTGCTGGAAGAATTTTCTAGAAGGATGAAAGATTTGAGGTGAGAATTAAAGTTGAATTTATTGATGTGGGCAGAACATTTGAGGGGGCATCCTGCGCAGAAGAGTGAACAAAGGCACTGGGTGCCAACCACTGGGAATTGTTTGGCTGGAATGGCAGGAAAATGGCAGGGGAGAGGGGGGAGAATGATGGACAGATCAGCAAGGCCAAGCTACAGGTCAGAGGTGCCATTTATAGGTGTTGTAAAGGGAACCAACATAACCTCCTGATTGGCATTTTTAAAATCCTTGTGCAGGGTGGTTGGAAGGGGTCAGATCTGAGGCTGGGGATGAGGAGATTGGGAAGCCACACAGACAGTGCTGCTGAGCTCCACCAAGGTACCAACAGAGGGGCATGGGAGGGAGGGGAGCCAAAGGACCAGCTACCGTGGAGTCCACTCCTGGGTTGGAGAATTATTTTCCTCTCCTCTATTTCCCACTTCTCTCTCTCCCTCATTTTCTACACCATCTGATAAAAAGTCTCAACTGTTCTGCCTCCAATGTTTTTCTTTGATCTTCCCCCTTCTCCCCAACTTCTCATCTCTGCCTGATCCCTTTGCCTGGACCACTGTAGTAGCTTCCAGATGCACCTCCCTCCCCACTGACCCCACTCCCCAGTGCAACAGCTACATGCGGTCAATGTTGTCCTCCATAACTACCAATCTTTTGTGTCCTTCTTATGCCTTATCACGTTCTGGGGCTCCACATACTCTTCCCCTACAGAGGAAAGTGGAAAACCCCTCCTGGAATACACTATTTCTTTCACAATCAGTCCCCAGCCTCACTGATCAGTTGTAGAGGCCAAGAAAACCTGTATTTATTATCTCACTCTCTTCCATCTTGAATCATGAAGCTCATTCCTTTAAAGAATGCTTCTTCATCCCTTTACATTTGTAGAGGTTCTTCTCCAAACCCTTCTATCGTCTTCACGTGCCCGTTTTACTTTAGGAACCCGTGTGGTTTCTAAAGTTTTAATGAGAAAAATACTTTAGGAATTGACTTGGATTCCAAAGACCTAATTGAGTGGGAGAGTCACTTCCCATATTTTGCAAATCGCACTGCCCTTAGTACATTCCAGAAGCCCAGAACCTACTTCTTAAAAAGAACCTTTAATTCAATTTTCTTGTAAACGTGGAGTTTGAATTCCTGCTTTATCCTAAAGCTCCTGAGAAGGAACAGATGGTGAAGCTGGGAGGTGGTGGTCATTCTCTGCACCCCTGAGGAATGTGTGGACGTTTGGAAGCTGAAAGACCGTGAAGGAATCCAAGGGCCTCCATCTTTGATTCAGCTTTAGCTCCACTTACAGAGGACCTGCCAGATGGCCAATTCTGGGTGTTCCTTCTCATTTGTTCCTCAAAGTAATCTAAAAAGTTAGCTATTCCTCTCTTTCCGGACAAGGAAACCACCGTTGAGCGGGCTCCAGGAACTTGTCCAGTCTCAAGAGTATAAAACAGAGGGATTGAGTCTTAACTTCAGAGTCTGACTCTGCATCATTGAGTTCCTTCCACCTCACTAAGCTGTCTCTCATGGGAACTGTTTGCCTAAACCATCCAGACCCCTCTGTCTATCCAGTTCTCCAGTACCTTCTCTCCCAGCCTCCCTGAAAAGCTCACAGCCTCATGCCTCCTGGACTGATTCCAACTGGATTTCATCAGAGAACAGCTCCATAAAATATGTCAGTAACTCTCTCACCCAGAAATGCATCTTCCTTTTAGGCTGTGTGTGTGTGCATACATGCACACACGCATGCACGAACATGCATGTGCACTCACTAAAGGCCTCAAAATATTAAAACCAAAGAACCACGGAGGTGATTCTCTATTGAACTGACATTTCTCAGAGGCTCACTCTCACCTTCTTTTACCTGGAGCTTCATAACTGCATAGTTATGCAGTTAGTTTTAGTTGTCCTTATATTTGTGCATTGCCTTTGGTCATAGGTAACAGAATTCTAAAGAGTAATGGCTTCCAGAATAAAACGACCAAGATGTTGGGCTTCTTGGGCATGGGTGGTTTCCTGAGTAATATTTACTTCCTTTAAACAGGATTGGGGTCAGCTAAGTAGTTAAGTGCTCACTCAAATCCCATGGCACTTGAAAGTGCCAATTCAATGGTACTTCCATCGAAAGCTGATGCAAGGGAAGGTTTAAGTCCTGCCTCTGCCTGCTCTCCATGACACTGACCATTCTTAACCTGGAGTGCAGTCAGATTCTGTGGGAGCCAGGTCCGGACTCTGTCATTTATGAAGTCAAGGGAGCTGCTGTATAAATGAAACGCCCAAGAATAGTAGAATTTCAGCAAACAAGAGGAGAAGAAGAATGATATATTACCAAAAGCTTAGAAGAACACCTTTGGGGCGTGGGGAAAGGACTTAGGAAAAGTAGTTGGCTGGAGCCTTCTCTCTAATTAGCATCTGATGAGTTTATCCAGGAGGGACTAGCCTTGAAAGAAATTGTCAGAAAGTAGTAAGTTAGGCTTATTACCTTCATTCCACCAAGGTAGGTATGATGGGCAGGGAACGGAGACATTTCCAGGAGAAGAATGAGGCCAGCACACATACTGATCAAAGGTTCCATTACAAAATATGCCTAGGGAGAGAAGAACGAACATCAATATTTGAGCACAGGGCCTCTTATAGAAGCAGAAGGGGCCTGGATCCTAAAGCCCACCTTGCTACTGAAGGAAGCTATGTGGGTCTCCCTCTCTAGATATGTAAAAGATGAAGAATGATTTGGGCAGCAGAGGAATGCAGCCCCAAACGTGGTGCCTTTATCTACTCAGTTTAACCCTAGTCAGTTAATGTAATGTCCATGTCATGCTAATTTTGCTTTATGTGAACCAAACTCTCGCAGAAACTCTGGGTCAGAAGGACACTTGGAGATCCAGCCAAAAAGCCTTATGTTCCATAATTAATTTGATTAAACAATTGTCAAACCTTCACCAATTAGATCCCAGAACACACCTACGATGAAATATGCAAAATAACAAGCTGATTTAAGGACATCTGTGGGATCTAGGTTCCTGGTCACATACTCATAAAATGACACAAATTCAATCTATAACAATTCAGTTGACAAATTACTCATGATTGAAGACTAGGCAGTAATTGTAGCAGAGAGCTTTCGTCAAAGAGGGCTGCATCCATACACATCCCATGTCATGTTACTTTATAGTGAGAAGTGGGTTTATGGTCACTCTCCTTGAGCCTGGGGAGAACTTTGTAACTGTCTCATCCAACTGAGCTTGGCAGAAGAGATGTTGTGTGACTTCTGAAGCCAGGTCATACAAAGTGATATGGGCTGTCATTAGGCTAGCCCTTAGGAACCCAGCCATCTGCTGTAAGGAATCCCAATCCATGTGGACAGGCCATGCATATGGGCTACCAGTTGCCACTTGACTTTCAGCTGAGAACCAGCATCAGCCAGTGGACATGGGAGGAGGCTTTGGGTGATTCCGGCTCCCGAGTTTTGAGTCTCTCAGCTGAACCCCAGACATGGCTGAGCAGAAACCTGTCAGGCCCACTGTGTCCTGTCTGCATTCCTGATCCACAGGAACATTGAGAGACACATGATTATTACTATTTTAAGCCACTAAGCTTTGGGGCAACTTGTTACACAGCCACAGATAACTAATACATGTGCTTACCAGAAGGTTTCTTAAGTAAGTCTTTTAGACACTCCTCTTTGTACTGAGCCCACTTCCGAGTTGTCTCCTCAAGGAGAGATCCTGTGGCCTGAGCAGACAAAAACAAGGTAACTCCCAGTTAGCTGCAAGCTCAGATGTAGCCCTGTTATTTCACACCACAATTCTCAAACCTTCCCACTGGCGAAATGCCCACAAGATGGTGTCCCAAGGAGACTTGGAGTGAAGGTCCAAACAGATATCTCGCCTGGGACCTGGACACGACACATGGAACCACGTGTTTGGTTGGCAGGATGAAGCCAACCAAAAGGTTCTTTGTTGCTTGGGGCGCAAACAACAACCAATCTAAGCCAGCCCAGGCCACACACAGTGACAACTAATTCCAGTAACCATGGTAACCCCTCCCAGGAGCACAGACTAGACAGCACCAAAACATGGACATATGTCACTGGGTGCAGCAAAGGTTCAACCAGAACTGCTAGTAACTGGACATATGAAACACAAAAGACCTCAGGCAAAATTTTGGACTGTGGAGAACCCAGAAGAGTTCTCCAGCCACATGGCCAAGACAAAATGGCGGATGAGTCCCACCTCCCACATTTTTTGCGGGCTTCCCATTGGTCCTTTCATTGTCATTCAATCAGGGCTTTTGGTCCCAACTCCCAGCCACTAACCTGTACTTCCTGCTTCACCCAGGTCTACTACCAGAGCTACACAGATCTTACATTTTACTTAAGAATGCTCACCTGTAAATACTAAGGAAAGATATCTTTTTCAGGCAAAATCTGATTCCACAGGCTTCTACGTTGCCCTAAGCCTGATTTGCCCTCAAAGCTAAATAACTTGATTTTTTTTATCCCTTAACAGCTTCCTTTAAAATCCTTCCTTTTTGAAGACACAAATTGGGTGTCAACTACTTTATATACCAACTGAGATATGAAAAATTGTGCTCTATATGTGTAATAAGAATTGTAATACATTCCACTGTCATGTATTAAAAAAAAATAAAATCAATTAAAATAAATAAATAAATAAAATCCTTCCTTTTCCTCTTTATGGTTGTTACTAAATAATGTTACATTGATGAGAGATCATTCATATGCTTATTGAATTTTGCTTTTAATTTTGGAGATTATGAGGATGCATTTTGCTTGCCACAGGTACAAAAGCCAGCATCATGAGATCTTTTCTCACAATGTTCCTATAACAACCAAGAAATCCTCATTCTTCTCATTCCTGACTATATAATTATAAAAAAAGAGTAAATATATACACAAGGATTTTATTTTAACCACATCATGTGATGTCATTAATATAAAAAGTGCACTACTAGTCCAAGGTAAAATAAATGGATCCAAATACTTTGAAGAGCCACATGGTTTGATGAGACTTATTTTAAAATTCCATGGTTATATAATAGTAACTTATACCTTTATTTTTAATACATATCTTTCCAGTTATTTGGATAATCTATAGTCCTTAATTCATAGAATAGTTAACATATACGTCTATTTGTTTAATTAATATGTATCTATTTCCTTCAGCAGAAAACACATAATTTATATTTCTTATACATGCATTTATCCGATGTTCTGCTTTTTATAGTTACAAATATTTAAGATAAATGTATTTTACTATAAAATACCTATTTCAAAATATAACACAACCATCAAATAATCTCTAATTCTCAAATTATTGTACAAATTTTTATAAGATGGTAAACAGAAATGATTCTGTCAACAAAAATGTCTAAGTGCTGTACCTATATTTTCACTGAGATATTTCTTCTTATCAAGATATAATAATATGTTTAGATTCTAAGATTTATATAAATGGTTCCAAAGTATAACCAAGAAAAATTCTAAAAGGACAAGAATATACTTCCACAGAGAGGAAGCACACCTTGGAGGTCCTAAGAAGAAGAAAGAAATCATCTTTGGGTAAAACAAGGTCTTTATGTTCTAGATTTTAATGATTAAAAAAAAATTCTAAATAAGGAAATCCTTATATCATTATCTTTATTTATTCATTTTTTAACATGATTTCTTTCTCTTTTTTTTAAGAGAGAGAGAGAGAGAGAGAGGGAGAGAATTTCAATATTTATTTTTCAGTTCTCGGCGGACACAACATCTTTGTTTGTATGTGGTGCTGAGGATGGAACCCGGGCCGCACGCATGCCAGGCGAGTGCGCTACTGCTTGAGCCACATCCCCAGCCCCCTTATATCATTATCTTGACAGATGATATAGAAAGTTAAAATAATTGAAAAACAGATTTATGTACAACTGGATTGACTATAATAATTTGAACTGATTAATTCTAGGATATTTCAGACTTTCCCCCCCAGATTTTATTATACTAATATGAACCAAGATTTTTTCCATATTTTGACATGATAAAAACCTATTAAAATGTTGTTTATTTCCATTAAGTAAGGCCTTTATTTGCCTAGTGATTCTTGTTAAGACAAGGATTAATTTTAGTGAATAAATTCACAATCTTGATTAAACAATAACATTTTAAAATGCTGACTTAAATTCCAATTTTGACACTGTCCCTTGGAGGCTAAAATTGATTGATTCAAAGACATCATTGGATGTTTATGGGATTTAGGAGAACATTTTATTAGGATTGGTGTTCTCCAAATTAAAGTAATACATTAGTTTTGAATAATAAAAATTCTAAACTTTGTTGGAAATTCATTTGTAGTATATAAATTTTCTAACTGGACCTATAATCCATGAAACATTGTAAGACTTGTATATTGCTCCCTACACTGGGAAGTAATCTTAATCATATTTTCTTTTTTTTTAATATTTATTTTTTAGTTGTAGTTGGACACAATACCTTTATTTCACTTATTCATTTTTATGTGGTGCTGAAGATTAAACCCAGGTCTCGCACGTGCAAGGCGATCGCTCCTCCGCTGAGCCACAACCCCAGCCCCTTAATCATATTTTCTAGAAGACAATTAAGAGACACCTATTGGGGCTGGGGATGTGGCTCAAGCAGTAGTGCACTTGCCTGGCATGCGTGCGGCCCGGGTTCAATCCTCAGCACCACATACAAACAAAGATGTTGTGTCCGCCGAAAACTAAAAAATAAATATTAAAAAAATTCTCTCTCTCTCTCTCTTTAAAAAAATTAAAAAAGAGACACCTATTTAAAGGATAGTATTCTGAAATATAGAGATATTTTGAGACCTTCTCTCAGGAAGAAATGAGGGTTCCTTTTAAAATTGTTCATTTACACATAATATCAAAATGAACCAACTAGTCTATATACTAAAAAATTACAATGGTTAATAAAAGATGTCTCATTTTCATATCTAGTCTCAATTACTACTAACAGAGAAGGCCTTAAAAAATTACGTACTAGGAAAAAAGATCAAAGGGGACCTCGCAAACTTAACATAGACCAGAATAAATTCAGGGAGATTTTCGAGAGAGCCAAGTTCATGTATTGAAATATTTCAAAATTTATGCCAGATACCTAACCCTATCTACAGAGATATTATGCTATTACTTATGTAAACTTTAAAATAGAGGACCATCTTAAAAATGGTTTTAAAGGAGATTTATCTTAACCATGTCCCAATAACACAGAATAGGAACAAAACTAACAGTCTATCTGAAGCACAGACAACTCCCCCAAATTTATTAATATCCAACAGGTAAACAGAATACCTAAAAAATAATTTTAGAAAGCCTTTATAAAAATCCTACTATTTTCATAGAGAGATTTAAAGAGACAATACAGCACCTTAAACTTATAAGGGGCCACTCGTTTTCAAAAGTTAGCCCTCATCATTCCAAGGGATCTACAGAGGTTAGTTAACATAGTCAAGTTTGGATATTACACCATAGTTGAATGGAGACCAATGAAGGAAAGGAAAGGTAAACATACAGACAGAAAAAAAAAATTAAAATACTAATCTTACCCCAAGACAAATAAACCTTCTGGTTAAAAATTTTACTTCTTTTCTAAGTTATAAACAGATTTTTGGAAGCCTCTAAACATGGAAACAGGGTCTTAACTTTGAGCCCCTGTCAACAGTTTGTCACTGAGGAAAATAACCCTAAAAATAGTTACCCCTAAAATATTAGACAGACAGCCATAAATAAATCAGCTCAACAGCCGATAGCTTATTTTAATAAGAAATTTAACATGATAGAGCTTTTCTCAACATTAATAATATTAGATGATGCCTTATGTACATTGATATTTTTGAAATTGGTAAAACCATAAATTATACATAATTATTAGAGCTAATTTTACTACATTAAATAAAGTTATTAAGGATGCTCATAAAACTGTTTCTTTATACACAAAGATTATTTTGACATGAGATCCCTAAAAATGTTATTACTAGCTCAATGTTATATAAAATTCTAAATTAGATCACTGTCTTAATATTGTTGACTTGTTTTTACCCATTAATATTTGGGATATTAACTCCCTACACTTAGGTCAACACTAAGTTTGATAACAACAATGACAGTTTTTCATGGATTCATAGATTAAAAAAATTCATTTCTCTATTTCATTCTTTATTAATGGTTAAAAAATCTTCTCTAGGCTTATTTAACATATGTACTTCCTATTTTAGATAGATGTCTGTATTTTTCTCATGCCTACCACTCCTAAGTTATAAACTCTTGACTCCATTCATTCCAAATTAAAATAGCCAATTGGAGTTCATCTGAAGCTAATTTCAAAATATAAATTTTTATTATATTCTTCATTTTTAGTGATTTTATTAAAGTCAAAAATTAAATCATACATTAATAAAACAGGTTTCTAGTCACCATAGTCCCTCTCCAACTCACTGATGTTGGACTTAACATAGCTAGTAGATGACTTTTGTCAAAATTCAGAACAAACTAAGTATGGTAAATCTTTTCTTATTATGCAAATATTGTACTATTATCTATAACTTTAATGACTTATGCCAGGACTTTGCTCAATTTTATTAAATTTTTTAAAAAGTGGGGGAAACAGGACCCCCCACACACATAATAGATCTTACATAGTATTTTTAAAATTTTTCTTAATTTTGATACTGAGAGTCTTACTGCTGCTAGAACATGAT